CAGAGAGATCGAGAAAATGATTGGTTCGCGTTCTCACGGATGGAAAGTGGTCTGGACGTGGGTCTGGAAACTATTCACCCCGCTCACTTTATTTGTGAGTAAACCACCTATTTTGTTCATTTATGCATATGTTATAAATGCAAACGTTTATCAAATTTAATCTCAATTTTTTATTATAAAATTCTTTGTGGATATGTATTAAAAATCTAATTTGCCGATAATTAAGGGTATTTTGGCCTTTAATTGGATTCAACACAAACCGGCCACCAGTGGTTCGTACGTATACCCGGTGTGGGCCAATGTGTTGGGTTGGTTCATAGCATTTCTGCCGACAATCACAATCATTGCAATGATGGCCCACACCTTCTTCTCATTCAAGTCAAAGGGAACTCTATTTCATGTAAACATAAATTTATTTGATAATATGATTGAATTATAAAAACAATGAATCATAATGTATACGAAATATATACTGTATATAGAGATTGACGGCATTAATGCAACCGATGGAGAGCTGGGGTCCGACTCATAAGAATCTAGACTTGAAATCGACTGAAATCACGACTGAAGGGAACGGAGCGTTAAATAACGGTCTGATTCGAGAGAATTCGTTCGACAATCCCTCGTTTAACGTCACCTACACTTTCGAGACTGCAATCTAAGTCCCGCTATAACTAAACTCATCCATTAGTTCGCGTTGTGTTTACTCCTCAAAACCATTGATCACTTTTTTTATAGATACCATGAAATGATTTTTTAAATCCATGTTTAAATTTTTTAATTCTAATTTGTTTTTAGAATATTTGTTGATTTCTAAGTCATTTAATTAATCTGTTATTTGATAACAAAATTTTAAACGTTTGCCTCAAAAATACAACACAACTAATGAATACAAAAAAAAGAGTCACTGAAATTGAATTCAATTTTGAGAATCCAAAGGGAATACATTTTTTAGAGATATTTTACTATTGAAACTGACTTTAAATTCTTATAAAGTAATAAACAAATCTTTATTTAGTAATTTATTTTT